CTTACTTTTTTTTTGAGACAGACTCTCACTATGTGGCCCTGGGTAGAGTGCAGTGGCATCACAGCTCACAACACTGGGCTTAAGCGATCCTCTTGCCTCAGCCTCCCAGGTAGTTGGGACTACAGGTGCCAGCCACACTGCCTGGCTATTTTTCTGTTGCAGTTGTCATTGTTGCTTAGCTGGCCTGGGCTGGGTTAGAACCTACCAGCCTCGGTGCATGTGGCCAGTGTCATAACCACTGTGCTACAGGCGCTGAGCCAAGTAGTTTTCTTTTCTTTTTTTTTTTTTTTTTTTTTTGTAGTTTTTGGCTGGGGGCTGGGTTTGAACCTGCCACCTGCGGCATGTGGGGCCGGCGCTCTACTCCTTTGAGCCACAGTCACTGCCTCCAAATAGTTTTCTTAAGACAACTAAGTCACTCATTTCCTTGGAGAGAATGTCATAGGAAGAACTTTATCTTGCTTGAGTGTGATAAGCTAATTCCTCTTCGTGAATAGAATTCTAGGGTAGAATTGTATCTATTTGCATACAGAACCTAGGAATCTTCTGAGAGGAGAGGGCTTGAGATGGCTCTGACCCCACCATTTCTCCCCAAGATTCCATCCTAGCATTCTAAGAGGCCAAGGTGGGAGGATCGCTTGAGTCCATGTATTTGAAACCAGCCTGAGCAAGAGCGAGATCCTGTCTCTACTAAAAATGGAAAGAACATAGATGGGCATGGTGACAGGTACTTGTAGTCCTAGCTACTAGGGAGGCCGAGGTAGGACGATTGTTTGAACTCAGGAGTTTGAGGTTGCTGCCATGGCATTCTAGCCTGGGTGACAGAGTGAGATTCTGTCTTAAAAAATAGGCTTATGCCTATAATCCTAACACTCTGGAAGGCTGAGGTGGATGGATCACCTGAGCTTAGGAATTTGAGACCAGCCTCTGCCAGAGTGAGACCTCATCTCTAAAAATAGCCGGGTGTTGTGGGGAGCACCTGTAGTCCCAGCTACTTGGGAGGGTGAGGCATGAGAATCGCTTGAGCCCAAGAGTTTGAAGTTGCTGTGAGCTATGACGCCATGGCACTCTACCAAAGGTGACAAAGTGAGACTCTGTCCCCAAAAAATAAATAAAATAAGAAAACACTATCAAGAGACTGAAAAGCTAATGTACAGAATTAGAGAAAATACTACAAATTATATATCTGATAAGGGTGTAATGCCCAGAATATATGTATATGGAAAGCTCTTACAACTCAGTAACATAATTGACAGACAACCCAATTTTAAGAGGGACGAAATACTTCATACACATTCTCCAAAGAATATATACATACGTTCAAAAAGCACATGAAAAGATGCTCAGTGTCCTTAGTCTTTTGGAAACGCAAATAAAAACCACAATGAGATACTCACTAGCATGGCTATAATAATAAACAGCTGAGCTGCTGACATACGCCTGTGATCTCAGCTACTCGGAGGACTGGGACGGGAGGATTGCTTGAGCCCAGGAGTTTGAGTCTAACCTGGGCAACATAGCAAGACTCTATCTCTACAAAAAATAAGAAAAATTAACCGGATATAGTGGCACATGCTTGTAGTCCTAGCTACTCTAGAGGCTGAGGTGGGAGGATCACTTGAGCCCTGGAATTGGGGGTTGTTGTGAAAATGATGACACTGCTGCACTGTAGCCAAGCTGACAGAGCAAGACTCTGTCTCAAAAAGTAAATGAATAAATAAACCCCGGAGTGTTTATATTTAGTAGTTCATCTGAGAGCTGAAACAGCAAACCATTATCATGGAAACCTCTTTGGAAAATGTGGTCTTCTATTTCTCAGGCTGTCCTACAGCATTCTTGTGTTATTTTTCATTTATCTTTTAAAATGAACTTGACATGTACCCACATATATAAAGTCACTCCCTTCCAGTCTGTGAGGCTGACTCCTCTGGCAAGTGGAGAGGTAGACAGATGACTCAGGAGGAGGAAGGGTGGGAGTGGCTGTGGCTTTTCTGTGCCTTCTACAGCTTTCTCACCTTGGAGAGCCTGCATCTCCCAGGACTGTCTCATGTCCTTGCACCTTTTGCACAGGCTGGTATCTCTCTCTGAGACACTATTATCTCCACCCTCTTGTCCTCAAGGCTAATTCTAGCAAGCTCAGCCTGGGGGCATCTCCCTCACTCTTTCAAGCTGGGTTAGATTCCTTCTCTGTATTCCCCTGGACTCACCAGGTTCCTTACTCTTTCACAACTCCTTGATCCTATTCCTTTCTTTTTTCTTTTTTCTTTTTTTTTTTTTTGAGACAGAGCCTCAAGCTGTCCCCCTGGGTAGAGTGCTGTGGCTTTAGGGCTCATAGCAACCTCCAACTCCTGGGCTCAAGCGAGTCTCCTGCCTCCGCCTCCCAAGTAGGTGGGACTACAGGCGCCCGCCACAACGCCCTGCTATTTTTTGGTTGCAGCCATCATTGTTGTTTGGCGGGTCCGGGCTGGATTTGAACCCGCCACCTTAGGTGTATGTGGCTGGTGCCTTAGCCGCTTGAGCCACAAGCGCCGAGACTTGATCCTATTCCTATGTCTCCTACTAGAATTTAAGTTTCTTTACTTTTAAGACAGAGTCTCACTTTATTACCCTCAGTAGAGTGCTGTGGCATCATAGCTTACAGCAACAGCAACCTCAAACTCTTGGTCTCAAGTAATCATTTTGCCTCAGCCTGCCAAGTAATTGGGACTTCAGGCACCTGCCATAACATCCAGGTATTTTTTTTTTTTTAGAAATGGGGTCTCACTCTTGCTCAGGCTGGTCTCCAACTCCTGAGCTCAAACAATCCACCTACCTTGACCTCCCAGAGTGCTAGGATTACAGGTATGTGTCACCGCACCCGGCCTTAGACTTTGAGTTTCTTAAGAGCATCCAGAAGCAATCTGCCTAAGTTTGAACCCCAGCTCCATCATTTCCTAGCTGTATGAATTTCCTACCTGTATGACTTGGCAAGCCACAAAAACTCAGTTCTCTCATCTGTAAAATGGTGATAATCATTCTTGCCCTGTTGGGTTGTTTTGATCACTAAAATTTGTAAAACACTGAAACAATGCCTGGGAAATAAGTGCTTGTCCCGTCCTGCGGGACACGGTTATTCGTGGGGTGAGGGGAACCCAGCCTGGAGTGCTCAATAAATGTGAGCTATAGTAGTAATAAAAATAAAATATTATTACAATTAAACATCTCTTTATTTTCAATGTCTAGTGCAAAGGCTAGTGTAAATTAGGCACTCAGTCAACTGGTGTTAAATGGGGCTGTGGTTAATGCGTTAGCTGTGATTAATCAAGAACTGTGCTGTTCTATAAAGTATCCACCAGCTAACTGTGGCTGTTAAGCATTTGAAATGCAACTAATCCATATGAAAAATGCTCATTGTCCTGAATCATCAGAGAAATGCAAGTAAAAACTACCCTGAGATATGACCTAACCCCCGTGAGAATGGCCCACATCACAGAGACTCAAAGCTGCAGGTGCTGGCGTGGATGTGGAGAGAAGGGAACACTTTTACACTGCTGGTGAGACTGCAAACTAGTACAACCTTTTTGGAAGGAAGTATGGGGAATCCTCAAAGAACTCAAATTAGACCTCCCATTTGGTCCTGCAATCCCATTATTAGGCAACTACCAGAAGAAAAAAATCCTTTATCATAAAGACTTTTGCAATAGGCTGTTTATCCCAGCTCAATTTACTATCACCAAAATGTGGAAGCAACCTAAATGCCCATCAACCCAGGAATGGATTAATAAGCTATGGTATATGTGTACCATGGAATACGGTTCAGCCACTAAAAGAGATGGAGACTTGACATCTTTTGTATTAATCTGGATGGAGGTGGAACACATTCTTCTTAGCAAAATATTACAAGAACGGATGGGTGGAGCCTGTGGCTCAAAAGGGTAGGGCCACATAAGCCAGAGGTGGTGGGTTCAAACCCAGCCCTGGCCAAAAAAAAAAAAAAAAACCGAAGAAACCATATTAGTACTCTGTTCTAATATGAAAGCAGCAGATGAGCTAATACAAGGGGAAGTAGGGGAATGAGGGAGCAGGGGGAGGGGCAGAGGAAGGGGAAGGAAGTCACCGTGTATGGCACAGATCTTGGGGGTGGGACACAATTATGAGAGGGACTTTACCTAACAGATACAATCAGTGTAGCTTAATTCTTTGTACCCTCAATGAATCCCAAACAATAAAAAAAGAAATCCAACTAATTGAAAATGACATGTGCTGTAAGTGCAAACTTACACAACATGTTGAAGCCTTAGCATGGAAAACCAAAAGTAAAATGCAAGTAAATTTGTGTATTGATTACATGTTGAAATAGTAAGAGTTTGGATATTTTGGTTTCAAGAAAATATCTGCTTTAAAATAATCTCCTCTGCTTATTTTTACTTTTGAAAACAAGACTGCAAGAAAATTTAAAATTACACATGTGGCTACATTATATTTCTGTTGGGTAGCACAGACCTACTGTGTTCTCAACCTACCACCAGCATAGCAGATCTTCCCACAACCTCATTTATGCTCAAATATGATGTGAGCTTTAGGAATATAGATAATTCATTTAAAGCCAGGTGCGGTGGCTCACACCTGTAATCCTAGCACTCTGGGAGGCCAAGGCGGGTGGATTGTCTGAGCTCACGGATTTGAGACCAGCCTGAGCCAGAACGAGACCCGGTCTCTAAAAATAGCCAGGCATTATGGTGGGCTCCTATAGTCCCAGCTACTTTGGAGGCTGAGGGAAGAGAATTGCTTGAGCCCAGGAGTTTGAGTTTGCTGTGAGCTATGACAGCACAGCACTCTACCGAGGGTGACAGAGTAAGACTTTGTCTCAAAAAAAAAAAAGGATAATTCATTTAGAACAAGGATTCATTGAGCATCAAAAGTACATCCACTTGATTTGTAAACGATTTTGTATGCGGGGTTAATCAGGTAATATACAGAAGTATGTAAAAAAAATGGACTGAATCTTCATTGGAATTTTCTAGATTCGCTGTAATCCTGAGATTCAAGAATTGCGTCAGTGGCAGAAGAAACTGCGTGAAGACAAGCACATTCGCCAGCGAGTCAGAATGTTCTGGGCCAACCAAGAACACAAAAGTGAGTTGCTCGATTCACATTCCCTTAGTTTATTCAGGAAAAGTCTGATTCTTATTCCAGGCAGAGGGAAGCCTCTGCGGTTTTATAAAGTCCTTGTGTCTGCATGGAACTCAATTGTCAATGAGGGAAGTGGCTGCATATTAAGATTCTGCCCTGGAATGACAGAGGTGATGTGATATAATTTACATTATAGTTCTCCCCCAGGGACAAATGCAGTGTTACCTTGTGTCTGTGGGGGTTTTATTTTTCAACTGTAGAACATGGAGAATAACCCATTATTTTGGAAACACAGTGTCTGTCAACATGATGGATAGTTATTCTTCTAAGTTGCTGATTGTGTGTCTGAACTTAAATGGCATCTTATGCTGTCTTCTCCCCTTCATGATGGTTAATTTTATGTGTCAACTTGACTGGGCCACATGACTCCCAGATAGCTGCTTAAACATTATTTTTGGATCTGTGTGTCAAGGTGTTTCCAGGGAGCTTAGCATGAGAATTGATGGACTGAGTAAGGCAGTTGGTTCTCCACAATGTGGGTGGGCGTCATCTAGTCTGTTGAGGGCCTGACTGGAACAAAAGGGTGCTGGAAGGTTGAATAAAACTCTGCCTGTGTGAGCTGGGACATTGGTCTCCTCCTGCCCTTGGCACTGCTCCTGGTTCTCAGGTCTCAGCCCTGGCCTGGAATCCATATGCCATTGGCGCTTCAACTCCCAGGCCTTGGAACCACGTGGCTGGCTTTCCTGCATCTCTAGATTGCAGATGGCAGATCATGAAGAATTTTCAGTCCCCATAATTTTGTGAGCCAATGTCCTGTAATAAATCTCTGCCTTATATCTATTTAAGATTCCTTAAATTTCTTTCTTTATATAGAAATTATAAATACGTAATCTCCTGTTGGTTTGTTTCTCTGGAGACCTCTGATTGACATATCCACTTTTGAGAAATTTAAAACACACACACACACAGTACAAAGAATCACAAGCACCTATCATTTGCCATACACGGGTGTCACCATTTTGTCCCTATTTGCTTTTATTCTTTTTTATTTTTAAGCTTTAAGTTACCACATATTCACTGTCGGAGAATTAAAAAAAACAATAGGTGGGAAGGAGGGAGACATAGGGGCATCTGTCTCTGCACCTTGTGTTGTGATTTTCTCTTGGCTGCTCTGGCTTCTCTGGCAGAGAGTGTTCGGCCATCCCCGGCCTGTGGGCAGGCATCTCCACCTTGGCTCTCCCATTCAGTATGTTTCATGAGCTCTTCCCACAGGAGATACCATGTTGTAGAACCTGACTCTGACTCTGCTTTTTCCACAACCACCCTAGATTCCACTGTGTCATTTCATGCCAAGCTTTTTGCCCTTGGAGTCTCCTTACCCAGGGGTTAGCCCTCTTACAGGCATTAGAAAGACAGTTCAAGTTACCTCCCAATGTCTACTAGAACCACAGGAAACCAATGGTGAACACACAGACTTCTGCTCTCCTCTCCTTCTCTGCCCCACTATGTCTCTCCACAGCTGCTCAAACAGGCAGAATTATCTGCAGCTCTGCTCTTAAAGCAGATGTCCACCCAGATTCCCTTTCCTGAAGATACCCTTAATCTTTTCAAGTCGTTCTCTTTGATCTCCCCTCCCTTGCCTGAGGACTTGGGTGAGGGGAAAGCACCCACTCCTGTCCAAGAGAAGAGAGAAAAGCGTAGCATTCTCTTCTAGGCCAGCACTTCTCAAGTTTCTATACAGTGGCCCAGGAAAAAATAATTTTATATCACAATCTAGTTCATAAAAATATACAGATGGTTTCATATGTAACTAAAAAATTTTAGGAAAAAAATTATTATATGTAATGCCCTCTAATGTTTTCTATTGAACTTAGGTTTTTTTTTTAAATGTTAGATACAACCTAACATAAATTGATTTTGTGGCCCACTAATATGTCATTGGGATGGCACCCGATGTCAGTGTGAAGGTTAAGTTTTCCAGGTTCTATTGCTCAGCCAGAATGGAGACCCTAAGGGGATACAGGATCCCCATTTGTTTTATGCTTTCTTGAAAATTTGGAATCCTTTACGCTTCCGTGTCCTCAGCTCTGGGCAAGAAGACAAGGCCTGTTGATGCTTGACTGTACATCTGTTGTTTGTTTACTTGGCGGTTGTCTTCCCTACTAGAGTGTAAGCTACATGAGAACAAAAACCATGTCTGCCTGGCTCACCTTCTAGGACAGTGCCTGGCATAAAGTGAGCACCAAAGATGTGTTGATAGAATGAATTAGTGAATGAATACCTGAAGTTGTAAGGTTTAAATGAGTCAGCGTACAGAAAGTGCTTGGTGCTAACCACATTGGCAGTCTTAGGAGCCCTGACAAAGAAGCAACACGACCTATTACTGTGTGGCTAGCTCAGCACAGGCCTTTCTTCTATGCTCAACTGAAGTTTCATTTCACTTCAAAATTAGAAGGCAGTCAGAACTGTAATCAGTTTAAAGGTCGAGGAAAGTGCAGCATGCCTGTTTCTTTCTGTGGTTCATTATTCTTTAGAGTTGATTTGCGCTTGGTTGGTTGGTGGAGTGGGCTTGCCCTGGGGCAGGGAGAGTAGACTGGATTTCATGCCGTCATCCAGCCAGCAGGGGAAGGGCTGGAGGGGCGGATGGAAGCTTTCCATTTCCACCACCTGCTACTCATTTCCTTTGCCACCTTCCACACTTTCCAGAGCAAGCAGTGCTTTCCAAACACAATGATGTGAACTGATGGATAAATTCCCATGTATGCGGAAACTGAAATGACCCTTGGGCAAAAAAGTCAATTCTGAAGACGGTCCCCAGGTCTGTGGTCAGCTAAGAAGGAAGTCAGTACAGCATGAACAGTAAAAGACCTGATCTAGTTAACTTCATTAAGCCTCAGTTTTCTCATGTACAAAATGGGACTGATGATAGTACCTGCTTCATACAGTTGTTAAGGGATTACAAGAAATAATCTTTACAAGTTTCTATAAGTGTTAGTTATTGTCATGATAGTATTTTAAAATATCAATGTGCTTTTGAACAATTTTGTATCGATTTCTTCTAATAGTCTCTAAGCTCCATTGGGTTCCATGTAAAGACCACGTTTGTCGTATTCATCATCATCTGGGCACAGAGCAGGTGGCCTGTACATATTTGCAAATGAGGTTTTGGGCTTCATTTTACGGGTGAAGAACTAGAGGCCCGGGAAGACTGAGTGACTTCCCCAAGGTCACCTGGCAGTGGAGGGCCTACGGCCTGGGCCTGGGAGTTCCTTTCTCTGCCTAGTGTTCTAACTGAACCCCAGTAAGAGACACAGGGAGTCTGTGTCTTGGATTCTACCATCTGACCCAAACTTCTCAGGGATCTTCTGGAACATGACATATGACTTGTCTGATTTCTTATTATCTGGCCTTCAGTGTTCTTGCTGTTTATGTTTCCACTGACTGAAACCCCTAGCTGGGGGTACAATCTGCTGCCCACCAAGGAAAGCAGAACTTTTTGTTCCCTTCAGTTGTCACCAAGCTGAATCATTATTAAGTTCATGCACTAGAGTTACTTACTATTTTAAACCCTATGAATCTGGGTAGTGTGGAGGTTTAGAAAATAAATCTCCCCAGCCAAGGTGACACAGTAATTAGACCTCAGAGACTTCCAGTGAGTGAGAAAATAGATGGTAAGCACATGCTAGTTCTCCTTCAGATTTGCAGTAAAAAATAGTGGCATGATTGCCGGTGAACATGGTTTTTCAACTTCATTAAAAACAACAGCAACTCATCATTGTACAAATCTAGCAGACATTATCTTTTTAAGGTATTGGTATCCATAGTGTGCTTTGGTATTTACAGTATGAATAAATTTTGCCAAGTTCCAATCTTGGAGCAACCTTGGTGCAGACAGGAGGTCTGAGGGAGCATAACATCAGCTGTCGGGGTGGAATCGTGGTCATATATAGCCTATCTCATGTTACACTGAGTCAGAGGCCGCCCAGCCCAAACAGTATTTTCTTCTAGGACAGGAATGGCGTGAGGTTATCCATGTGTCTCTATCCATTGGGACAGATGCAAGAATTCTTTTGAAATGCTTCTGGTAAGAATTTCAGCCAACATAATTCAAAAGAAGATGCCTAAGTCATTTTTGAGATATAGTCAAAAATTCTGTCTCGATTAATAGCATATTTTTAGCTTCATCTAATTAGTAATTATTTTGAAATAGGCTTTGTAAGTGAATATTTATATTTTATTTGGAAATCTAATGTGAACAAGGAGAGAGGAACCATAGCAATGTTCCCATAACATCAGATTAAATTTCATATATATACACACATCTGCCTATATGTCATAACATCAGATAAATTTCTCCTATATGTGTTTGTAACTGTATTCTTTATATATATGTACAACTAATCTTTAAATTAATTTATCTCTTCTTGATGTTGTGAAGAAAATTCAGAAGTTTCAGGGAAAGATTGATCTGTCAAAGGAAATGGATTGTTTACTTTTTGTTTGCTTAACTATTTCCTCCTTCATTCCAAGAATAGTTTATATTATAGTAGTTATGGAAACACAAATAATATTTTTAGGTAAAGGTGGTAATTAAGCTAAGGAAAAATAAAGATTAGGGAAAAAATAAAGCCACTAAATGCAGCAAATGAAATACTAGCTTGAAGGCCTAAAATTATAAAATATTTAACTGACAAGTAAAAATTACATTCAAGCATACATGAGATGATTTAATATACACGCACAGTGTATAATGGTTACCACAATCAAATTAATTAACACATCCATCACCACCCATAGTTACATTTGTGTGTGTATGTGTGTGTGTTGGGTGGGGGGTAAGAGCACTTGAAGCCTGCTCTCTTATCAAATTTTAAGTCAACAGTGCAGTACTGTTAATTATCGTCATCACACTCTACATTAGATCCCCAGGTCTTATTCATTTTATAAGTGAAACCTACTGTACCCTTTGACCAACAAAGAAATTTCTTCGAGATAAAGATGGT